TTAATTGTCCAATTGCCACAGTGCTTGTCAAAGCCAGTTCTGATTAATCTCCTTTGTCAGTGTGTCCTTTGCCATTCCCTATCACTCCTCCCTGAGAGAAACTTCACCCTGATTCATAAGGAAAAGGGGATGGCATAGTCTCTTAGCTACTTCCTGCTGAAAAGGGACGCTCATTTTTATATTCTTATACTGTCCACTAGTTGCCATCTCCACACATTTAATCTATTAAAAGTTAACAAAGGGAAATCAGAAATGGGTGACCCTGGAGGACATTATGCTGAGTGAAATATCTCAGTCACAAAAGGACAAATACTATATGGTGCTACTGTTGTAGAATGGGGCTGACATCGGGGTGGGGGTAAGACTGAGAAAAACTGGATAAGTTATGTTTACTGTATTGAAGTCGCTGAGGGAGAGAATAGTTTAAAAGTAATATATGTTAGGGAATTATGATTATTATAAGAGTCCGGAATGATGATTGCAGAGTGGAGTATACTCGGGGTAGGGGTCAGGGTGGGGGTGTACAGGGAGATTGTGTATCAAACTAATTATTTTAAGGATATTTCTCACTCAAATTTTATCTGTCTGGCTTGTGCTGTGCGTTTCGTTCTCTGTGTGTCTGTGCACCTGAATGGTCCCCTTACATTAATACTTTAAAAATGTTAATGGAATTAGTAAGCTAATGAATCCCTGCTTTTATTGTTATCTTATTATAATACTAATTTGAAACTTGTTTTTTAAAATAATTTTGAAATTTGCGTGTGTATGTGTGTGTATGATTGTATATCAAGTTTTCAATTAAAAAGGATAATTCCAAATGTTAGGTTTAAATGAAACATTTATCCTGTTCTTAATTTGAAAACTTTAAAGGTAGCTTACAAAATTAAAAATAGCTCAATAAAAACATCAGAAATAAAAATATAGAATAATAAGGATATAAAATTAGGTAACTAAATGTGTTTGATTACTTGATTGTTTTGTTGCTGACTAGTATATATAAATTAATGTTTGCAGTTTGGGGCTTTACTTTTAAAAGTTGATATTTCTCTAAAAGGTAGTTCATGAACCTTCAGGAATATTTTCTTATTTTAGATTCTCCAAATACTTCAATATTTCTTGAAGAATTGAAGAAAGCTGTTCAGCCTCTCCAAGATTATGGAATTTCAGTGGCAAAGGTACAAAGACATTTAGTAAAATATTAGTGATGTATTACAACTCTGTACATAAAACTGAATATTTAAAAATATTTCCATACTGGAAAAATGTTATTTTTTTCTCTTTTTAAGATGAAGACACAGCACAAAAAGGTAACTTCAGATAATAATGTGAACTAGTAGGAAATAAGCTGCTTACAATCTTTCATTTAGAGCATAATTCAATTCTGTACACCATGCTATTAAAGCTATGATGTAGTTTTTCAAATCTATAGTTAGTTTTTTGTATTGTCCAATATATGTATTGTAATGGATATCCACAGTTTAAAAATTTATTGAATTCCTTTTAGCAGGAACTGATGTAACAATGTTGTGATAATTGAAGTGTTTTTCCTTCTTTATTCTTCTAAGTCTTTGCAATTGCTGTGTTCCAGTTTTTCACGTTTATTTTTAGAACAAAGTTAAAATAATCTAACTTGAAGTTGCATATTTAATTTTTTTCAAAAGGAGTTCAAGCTTGCCTTGGAATAGTAAGACAAATTTTGACATGCATTATGAATTGGATACTATATGAGCCTTTAATTAAACATGGAATTTGGACTACATTAAATCTAGTGAGAAATAGTAACATTAATTTTTTAAAAAATTAGTATCTACTTAACTTTCTGTATGCATTCATTTATTCTTAGTTCATCAGCCTTTCTTCTGTGACATATAGCTACTGATGATCTTTGTTGCTGTGGTTCAGAAGATAGAAAGTGTAGAAAGATTATTTTGACCATATGCTTTAAATATGTATTATTGTTAGTTATTTTGAGTTGGTCCTGACTCAGTGCTCTATGCTAATATACAATTGAATGCAGTTCTGTCTTATCCTGTGCACCTCTCCCATTCATTGATGTTTTAACTTATTGTGGCTGTCACTGTGTTACTTTATCTATCTCATTGAGGATTTTCCCCATTTTTGCGTACTTTCCACTTTACCAAGCATGATGTTTTCCTCCAGGTACTGTCCCTCCTGATAATATACCCAATATTTGTGAAGCAAGATTTGTTTGTTCTCAAGCAGTCTATATATTTAGTAGTTTTCATAACACTGTAATTAAAGGTATCAATTATTCTCTGCTCTCCTTTATTCATTGTTTAGTAGCTCTAGTGTCCTAGTGATCAGGAGTTGTGCTACTAACCTAAAAGTAGGCTGTTCTAATCTACCTGCTGCTCTTCAGGAGAAAAATGAGCCTCTTCCAGCCTCTGAAAATCCACTGGAAGGTCAGCTATGAATCTGTTCCTTTTGATGGCACACAAGAGCAGCAACAACAGCATTCATTGTCTGGCTTTTACATGCATTTGAGTCAATTGAAAGTGTTATGCTTTGGGTAAAAGTCATCTTAATCTTCAAAGTGACGTCTTTTGTTTTGAACACTTACTACTTCAAGCAGATCTTTTTTAGAAGATTATTCTTTTTGTGTGTCACTATACATTCTCCTATTACTGTTATGATAAAAATCTAAACTCCTCATTGAGGGCAGTGGTTTCCTCTCTGATCTTTTTCTGTCCTTCCATCTTGCTTACGGTGTTCTTCACATACTTTTTAATTTTCTATTACTTGAACTTGTTAGATGTGCTATTGTTATAGGGCTCTGTATATTCTTTTACTATAGAAAACTCAAATATGTAGAACTCATAGCTTCTGCATATTTATGGATGGAAATAAATCACTTAATGAATTCAATTTTTTTGTTCAAATGTCACTTCCTCAAAGAAGGCTTGATTACTTATGTCCCTTTATTATATTTTTATTGATAGAGCACTGATAATTGCTTAACCTTACATATTATCTTAAAAGATACATATATTTCTTGTTGTTGTTGTTATGTTCAAGTTGACTATAACAAAGTGATGATATGCACAATAGCTCTGAACCCTGCTCTATCCTGAGCCAATCTCACTGTTTCTGATACACCTAGCCTCTTTACCCCAGTTATTGCCTTCTCTCCTGTGCAGTTATGTGAACCTTCCAAGCATGATATCCTAGACAAAAGTGTAAGTTTATAAGATAAAGATTTATACTGGAACTTAACTGTTTGTGGCTAGAAAAATGGCTAACAAATGGTAATTGTCATTGGTTACTGTCAAGTCTAACTAGATAGATAGTAAGCCCAAGTGTGTAGAGTAGAATTGGCTCATTGGCTTTTAAAGGCATGAATCCATGAATTACTTGAGGGAGGAAAGATGGACAATCTTTTCCTATGTGATTTACTCCTTTGAAAGCCCAATGAAGCTTCAGGTATGAGTTCTGATTCACTAGCAATGACTAGCTAAGCAGAGTGATAGGCAAGTGAAAGGTCAGATCTGTTATATTGTCATCAGTACCCTATCCTCTGATTTTCAAAAACAGTGAAAATGGAATATAGTAAAATACAGTTTTTAAAGTTATGGTTATATGCTGACTGTTAAATCTTAGTTTTCAGTTCTGATATATTTTCTTAATTTCAGTTCTCCTTTTGTAATTTTAAAATAAATGTAACTTCCTCAAATTGTTATTCTGTTCCTCAAACCTATTAAAATGAAAGTAAACAAAACAATATAAAACACCATCATTAAAAGAAAACAAGCAATACAATATAGAAACCATCTTTAAAAACAAAAACCCAAATAAGATTAAAAACAAAATTCTTACAGTCTCAGTTTTAGTTAAGCATACATCCATTTGCCCCAACATTGTTTTTACTGTTTTCCTCACCTCTGCTATTCCATGCTGCATAGATATTCTTTATCTTCTCCCTAGTTTTATTTGTATTTATTGCTAGTCTCTAATGAATCTATTCTGCCCTTTTCTGCTTTACTCTACATGCCAGTTATCCTTGCCTTATATTATACTCTTGTAACCTGCCTCCTTTTCTTTGTTCTCTTTTGCTCTCCACATTATGTTGCTGCCATTATTCTCTTCCTCCCTTCCTCCATTTTTTCTTCACATCGAATCTGTATTGTAAGGTATCAAGGGCTAGTATGGCTCCTTTAACATTGTCAAGGACTCAGGATCATTTTTTTCTGTGGCTTTTTAAAAAAATGGACTTTTCTAGATATTACGTTAGACCTCTCTGATATCCAGGTACCTTAACTGCAGACATATGATCTTACAAATTATCAATATTTGTGAGACTAGGATAAGAGAGAGAGTGTATCCCACACTGGGCAGCAAGACTTGAGTGAGATTGGAGTAAGACCCTGGTGAGAGCAAGACCATGGTGAAAACAAGACACTGGTGATGGCGGTAGAGAGACTGTGGCATTGCTGTGAAGAAACTGTTGCAAGGTGTAACCAGAGGAGCCCTGAGATAGGCCACAGTTAAAAATCTTGCTATTATTGGAAAATTAAAACAGACTCTCGGGGTGGGGGGAGAGGGAGGAAAGAGGAACGAACTGGGGGGGAGGGGAGGGAAAACAGTGCAACAATGAATGGAAACCCAAAATCTCTGTAAATGTTCATTAAAATTAATAAAATAAAAAAAAATCTTGCTATTCTAACCAGATGATAAGAGGAAAAGCTGACTGCTGAACTAAAACTGGAGCCTGGAGTAATTGAGAAGTTGTGCCTTTAGACTGTTGGGCTAAAACCTGGACTGGCATTGGGTATATTATTGCTTCTCCCATTCTCCAGATTATTTCTGTAATAAACCTCACTCTTGGTAACACAGCTGTGAGTAATATCTGTGAGTCAGCAATGAATGTCAGACTTAAATGATTGGTAGAAAGAGGTGCAGGAGCATAGTGGGTAGTGTGTCTAGCTGAGCAGCTATCTCTTTGCTGCTAGAAATATTATTTATGGGAATAGTTCTTCTCCTTTATAAAGTAGATAGAAGTCAGACTTGGCCATCCCGCTGCCCCCCCAATGCATTGCTTCCTTTCACATTTTCATCTCGGCATCCTAACCAAGTAGCTTCTTCTGGTCACATAGTGCTTTTGTCACTTTAATACTTGTTTTGTTGGGAAGAAGGAGAAAAGCAAGAGTATCCAGTTGGCTAAATGCCTACTTACAAAGAGCCTACTAAGAACCATCAACAACCTATATTATGCAGATGACACAGCCTTGCTTGCTGAAACTGAAGACGTACTTGCTGCAGAAGGTCAGGGACTATAGTCTTTAGTATGGATTGTAGCTCAACATCAAGAAAACAAAGATTCTTACCACTGGGCCAATTGACAGCATGATGATAGATGGAGAAGATATTGAGGTTGTTAACATTTACCATTTGTTCGACTCCACAATCAACACTCTTTAACATCAGCAGTCAAGAAATCAAAAGACAAATTGCATTGGGAAAATCTGCTGTCAGAGACTTCTCCAGAGTGCTGAAAAGCAACAATGTCAGTCTAGATAGATACAAAGGTGTGCCTAGTCCAGGCCATGGTCTTCGCAATTACTTGTTATGCTTCAGAGAGAGCTGGACAATAACTAATGATGACAGAAGAAGAACTGATGGCTTTGAGTTGTGCTGGAGAAGAGTCTTGAACATACCGTGGACTGCCAAGAAAACAAATAGGTCTGTTTTGAAGAGGATGAAACCAAGTTTTTCCTTGGAGACTAGGAATTTGAAGCTCTGTCTTACATATTTTAGGCACATGGCCAGGAGGGACCAGTCCTTGGAGAAGGACATATTCTTGTAATGGTGGAGGGACAGTGCAGGAGAGGAAGACCCCAGATGAGATGGATTGATACAGTATCTGGGGAAATGGGGGTTGGTTTACCAGAATTCGTGAGACTGACTCAGGACAGGGAAGGGTTCAGAGCTACTGTCATAGGGTTGCTATGGGTCACAGACGACTCGATGGCACATAACAACAACAACAAGAATCCTAGTATTCTTTACTGGAACTTCATTGACCCTCTCTAGCTTTTGGAGAAGATAGAGTGTTATAATGGAGCACGCACATTTTTGAGAGATTTGTTAAGACAGAAGAATGGGTATGAGGAACCACCACCGTCTCCTATAACTTTGATCTAGCTGTTAGGAAATTTTCTTTTTTCTTCCTTTTAGAAAAACTTTTATTTTTATTATTTTTTTTGTGTGCGTACTGTCATATCGGATCTGACTGGTACAGGAGGAAATTGTTCCTCCCCCCTCCAGCAGAGCATCTGGTGGATTCGAACCACTCACATCAGATATTGTAGTGCAGCTTCTTGCCTCTAGGCCACTAGAGCTCACCTGTTAGGACATTTTCATGTTTCCAACTTACTATTTACTCTTTTGCTTCTAGACTTTTGGCGATACTTTTTATTATGTTCTTTCCTTCTCCACTTGATTACTTCTCTGTAGTCTGTCAGCTTAATTTAAATGTGACCTCCTATGCATAATTAACTGCATCTGAGTAAGTGGGTGGTTATAGGATACACCTCCTGAAAAAAAATTGTTTTGACCTGGAGACAAATTGCAGTGTTTAATTTTCCTTCTTGTTTTCTTAACCAAAGACTTTGATTTTAAAATACATATTCTAATTATGACTTGTTGTTGTTGTTATGTGCCGTTGAGTCGTTTGCAACACATAGCGACCCTATGCACAACAGCCCTAAACCCTTCTCTATCCTGCGCCAACCGCACTGCCTCTGACACACCCCACCAGTGCGGGGGTAGCATTTCAAATCCACCAGCTGCTATGCAGGAGAAAGATGGTCAGTAACCTTGTGTGTGATTTACTGCTTCTGAAAACATGTTGGAGAATGAGATATGGTTCACTTATGACTCTATGGTCCACAATAACAACAATATATAATCACATATTTTAAGTATTTAGTAAACGTGCAATATTAAAAAATATAATCTTTTAAAGGTTAATTGTGTCAAAGAAGAGAGATCAAGGTACTGCGGGAAAGAAAATGATTTGATGAAAGCGTATTTATTCAGGTAAATAGATTTTTAAAAATGTAATGGACAAATACAAAGTTATACTGCCACAAATCCCAAGTATATGAAAGTTCACTAAGCTAGAATAAGGTTATATAAAACATAAGTCATATGAAGCTTAGCAAGAAATCTAAGTAAATAGATGTTATATTTAGTACTTAACCTATCTGTACTTCTAATTTCTTTATCTGTAAAATGAGGACATTCTATTATATATTAAATGAGAATCTTATGTGAACTCCTATTACTAATGTCTGTTAAATAAGCGCTGGATAAGCATTAGGAATAAATATATCAGTTAATATTTTAATATGAAATATATATGCTTTTGTGGTTCCTTTTGGGTTTTTTTTTTTTTTTTGAGAATGCTACCAATGTCCAGAGTAGAGATCCTTCTGCAGCTGGATATGCTAATGTGCTTATTTCTCAAATTTTTTTCTACCCTTGTATTTTTCTTAGGAAATGAGGACAAGCCCTGTTTCCACAGGGACTTACTCTCGAGGAAACTTTGTTTTCCATTCTACTCCTTTCCTCCTCAGTCAATTTGTGAAATCTCTGTATTTGTATGTAACAGGGAGGTTGATGAGATGTCTTTTTTCCCTTCTATTTTTTAAAAACAAGGTCCAGGACTTAACCTTTTTAAAGCCATTGACTGAGTATTTGTGATTACTTGAGTGTCTACTATGTGCCAGCCCTCTGATAAAAGTATAGGATCATGATAAGACCCTAAGGTCAAAGAACTTGCATCCTACTGTACTATACTGACAAATAAATAAAGTATAAGGTGATATTTCTCTAATGCTCTTTTAAACTTTTTATAGGGGCAACATATTACTGAGAGAATTCCCTACTGATACCTTATTTGATGTGAACGCCATCGTTGCTCATGTTCTTTTGTAAGTAGATGTGATACCCACCTATTTATTTACTTATTGGTTTTTTTTAAAAAAAATTATTTTATTTTATTTCATTATTTTTTTGTGTGTACTGTCAAATCAGGTCTGACTGGTACAGGAGGAGATTGTCCCTCCTTCTCCAGCAGAGCATCTGGTGGATTCGAACGTCACTCCTCTGGATTGCAGTGCAGCTTCTTGCCACTAGGCCACCAGAGCTCCCTTATTATTGTTGATCTTTTGATTTATCTTATGTGATTATACTTCATAGAATATCTTAGGGTTTCATTGTTATCTTTTTAGCCATTAACTTAATACAAATTATTGGCCTATTTGTGTTGTTGTAGTTGCTAGGTGCTGTCGAGTATGACTTAAACAACTCTATGAAGAACAGATATGGACCCTGTCCTGTTCTGTGACATCATCACAATCTCTGACAAAATTGAGCCCATTACTATAGTTACTGTGTCAGTCCACCTGATTGAGGGTTTTCTTCTCTTTTGCTGTCCCTCCACCTTCCCAGGTATTGCGTACAGTCTCTCCTAACAATGTGCCTCCAGTATGGGAGGCAAAGTTTTATCATGTTTGCCTCCAAGGACCATTCTGGACCATTGTGTCTCTAAAACATAGCTGTTTGTTCTTTTGACAGTCCGTAAGATATTTGAGAATTATCTCTCACATCACATTTCAAAGGTATCAATTCTTCTGTCTTCCTTACTCATTGCCCAGCTCTCAGGGTCATAATAAATGGTTGTAAAGACCAGGACCTGAATCTGATGTACGTTGGTCCTCAAACTAACATAATTGCATCTCAATAATTTTTGGAGGCCCCTGACTGAAGACTTTCCCAGTGATCTTCTGATTGCTGGTACCAAGTGTATTAATTGTGGATCCAAGTAAGATGTAATTGACCATTTCAAACTCTTCTCCGCCATACTGTTGCCTATGGGTCCAGTGGTGAGAATTTTTGTTTTTCTGACTTTAAGATGCACTCCATATTGAAGGCTGTAGTCTTTGATCTTCTGTAGCAAGCACTTCATGTCTTCCTCAGTTTCAGCAAGCATATTGTCATCTGCATAATGAAGGTTATTGATGAATCTTCTTCCATCCTGATGCCACATTTTTCTTCACAGAATCCAATTTCTCAAACAATTTGCCCAGCATATAGATTGAACAGGTATAGAGAGAGGATACAACTGTGATACACACCTTTTTTAATTTTAAACCATGTTGTGTTCCCTTTTTCTGTTCCCACAGCAGCCTCATGGTCTAGGTCTAGGTTTTGCATAAGCACCATTAAGTATTTTGGGATTCCCATTCTTCTCAGTGTTAGCCATAATTTGTTTGGATCCACACAGTCAAATGCCTCTTTGTAGTCAATAAAGCACAAATTGACATTCTTATGGTATTCTTTGCTTTCATCCAGGATCCATCTGACATTAGCATTGATTATCTCTGGTGCCATGACCTCTTTTAAATCCAGCTTAAACATCTGGCAATTTTCTGTCTATGTACTGTTCTAAGCATTTTGTTAATGATCTTCAGCAATGTTTTGCTTGCATATTATATTAATAACATTGTTCAATAATTTTCACATTCTGTTACATCACCTTTCTTGGAAATGGGAGGACTCTAGATCTATTCGGGTCAGTCAGCTGTCTTCCAAATTTCCTGGCCTAGACTGGTGAGCATGTCTAGGGCATCTTTCATTTGAAACATGTCAGTTGGTATCCCATTGATATCTGGGGTCTTATTTTTTTCAGTGTCTTCATTGCAGCTTGAACTTCTTCCTTCTTTAGTATTGGCTTTTGATTATATGACACTTCCTGAAATATTTTAGTGTTGGCCATTTCTTTTAGGCACAGTGACTCCTTATATTCCCTCCATCTTTTTTTGATGTTTCCTGGATCAATCAAGATTTTGCCTATGCTGTTGTATATTTTTAAGTCAAAACCAACTCATAGCTGACCCTCTGCCAGCTTTTCAGAGGTAGTTAATTGCATGGAGGAGATTGCCCATTCTCCTGCAGAGAAGAGGATAGCCTTGAGCTGTGTGCCTTCAGGATTACAGTGCAGCTTCTTGCCACTAGGCCACCAGAGCTCTCCTGTACAATCTGTTAAGTGTTATACAACTCAAGGCTTGAATTTGGTTTTCAGCTTGAGAAATGCAGAACAGTTTTTCCCTTCTTGGTCTATCATTCTAGGTCTCTGCTCATTCTGTTATAATACTTTGCTTTGTCTTCTCAAACTGTGCTTTGAAATCTCCTGTTTAGCTCTTTTACTTCAACATATTTTCCCCATTATTTTTGCTTCTTGATGCTCTAGGGCAATTTTCTGGGTCTCTTCTGACATCTATTTTCTTTTACTCCCCTCATGGATGATACACTTGATGTCATCCCACAACTCATCTGCCTTTCAGTCATAGGTGTTCATTGTTCCCTACCATTCTTAAGATGACTTTTAAATTCAGGTGGGATAGACTCAAGATCATATTTTGGTTTATATGGACTTGTTTTCATTTTCTTCAGCCTCAATTTGAATTTGCACATGAGTAATTGATAGTTTGTTTCACAGTCAGCACCTACCCTTGTTTGACTGCTGATATTGAGCTTCTCCAACAATTCCTTCCATAGATGTAGTCACTCTGATTCCTGTGCAGTCCATCTGGTGATGTCCATGTGTAAAATCACCATTTGTGGTTTGTTTGGGGTTTTTTTCTGCTCTTTTACTGGAGCTTGGGTCTGGTTCTACCTAGTGGCCATGTCACAGGCCAAACCAGGTGGGGACACCACCATGCCGGGGGTCCTGGCTCTGCTTCTGCCGCTCCTCCTTCATGAACTGCTTTTGTGGGTCCCCCTCGGTGTCACCTTTGGGGTCTGGCTACTTCTCAGGAAACATGTCTGGAAAGGTGAAGGTCTGTCTATGAGCCAGCTGGATATAGGTGACCTTGTAGTCTGGCTTTTTCACCCGCACATTTCTGTGATCTCATTTTCTGTTGGAACCGTGCTGCACCTGTGACCTCACGGCTGCCACCGGCACCTGGTAGATGCTCTACAGGTAGTTTCTGAGGTCCACCCTGGTCATTTCCAGCAGGATCTGGAACTGCACAGTGTCATTAGGCTGAGCTGTGCCAGGCTGGACCAGCTGGATTAAGGAGTTGGTTCGGAACACTCGGAGCTGTGGCACTTCAGCTGGTACAACACATTCTGTACCACGGTGGCCACCCATTTGTGTTTTTTAAAAAACTTATTTGTAATGAATAGTCACTGAATATACAAACATCAATTATTCTATTTCCGGTTTTGTTTCTGTCACCAAGTCCATACTGTCCAACTACCATTCCTTCTTCATTTTTCCCAACTTTTGTATTCCAGCATCCAGTTATCATTAACGTATCTTGACTGCATGTTTGGTCACTTTTGGACTGCAAAATTTGGTAAAAAAAATCTGTTTTCTCCTCTTTGGCTTTAGCTCTTGGCACGTATATTTGAATAAAATCTTCATAACAGGTCTTCCTTGTATTTCTCTTTATAAAACCAAAACCCAATAGCTAGCTGTTGGTTTGATTTCAAGTCAGGGAAACCCAGTATATATGTTAGAACAGAAGTGCACTCCATAGTGTTTTCTGTGGTTGATTTTTTAGAAATAGATTACCGAGTCTTTTTTCTGAGACTTTTTTAGAAAATTGAAGTTGCTAGCTTTGTTTAGAAGCCAAGTGCATTTTTTACTAATTATGCTATGTGTGTACTTCTCTCTGGATCACATAAAGAAATAATTTCTTGCAAAGGATACAGAAATGTGTAGATACTATTCAAAATAGGAGAGAGAGAAATTATCATGACCACAAAACTAAGTACTCTTGAATCAGTTCTAACTCAGGGTGTCTTTCTGTCAGGTTTTTGAGGTTATAAACTTAAAAGGAAGCCAATGGACACATTTTTATCCAGTGTAGCAGCTGGTGAATTCAAGCCACTGACCTATTGGTTAGCAGCTGAATGCTTTAACCACTTGGCACTGGAGATCTTTGATTGAGACTCAAACCAAAACCAATACCACAGAGTAGTAAATTTTGATGCTGTAACATAGTAGAAATTCTGTAGACCCAGAGTGGCTGGTAGGTGCACATGATCTATATTTTGGCTTGGAGCTGAGTATTTTGACCACAGTGTTAGAGTTCTTTTAATCGAGACCAATGTCTCATATTTATATTTGAATATTTGAAGTTTATTTCATTTTAATCAGATCAGAAGATTTCTCTAATTCCTTACTACAATGATGTAGAAAAACACAATTGGTGAAAAAAATTAAATTAGTAAAATCTGAGAACAGTGTAATGGTTAAATTTAGATATGTTTTACACAATTAAAGAATTATATTCTTGGATTTTTGTGGTCTGTCATGTGGGCATGTTGCTGTCCACTTTTTCAGTGAGATATTTTATGATATTCTTAAAATTTTATTGATTAAGAACATAATAACTTATTGAACTATTAAAATTTTATTACGCTGATTCTCCAAGACATAGTAGAGGAAATAAATTAAGTTCTTAGAATATAGCCTCATATTAAGAATACTATGTTTGAATGAAGAGAATGTTAAGCCCAAAGTGTAATATCTGAGATATTTTATGCCTGTATGTGTTCCTGAACATTATTGAAAATGGCTGGAGCTAGTATATAAACAGGGACTTGTCCGAAATTAAGATGAATTCAGAGAAGGCTGTGAGCAAGGTATATGATGTCAGATAGATCTTGGCTGAAAGCAAGACTGTCAGAAAGATATTTTCTTGTACTTAATTGACTACATAAAAGCATTCTACGTGTGGATCTTAGTCAGTGACGAAAAAAGTTGAGAAGAATGGGAATTCCAGAACACTTAACTGTGCTCATGTGGGATCTGAGTCTGGGCTAGGAAGCATGTGTTCAGATTTCATAGTTTAAAGTCAGGGAAGGTGTGGGTTAGTGTTGTGTTCATTTGCCAAGTAGAAATGCATATGCTCTGAGT